GCTGACTCTCTGTAAACCGCTTAGAGAGGCCTGAAAGGCCTATGAAGCGGTATATAAGTCTACTGCTATTGCTATTGCTATTGCTATATTATTCAGATTTTATTTAATATACAGAGCTGATAATGATGATGGTGATGGCCAACCATAGAAAGGTAATTTGACTGTTTCTTCTCCTGGTGTAATGCTCCCCAAAATAAAGATCCTCCAAACTCAAAATGTGGTTGATTGGGATTCCCCCCCCCCTTTTCCCCCTTAGCTGGAGAAATTAAATCCCTTTCCATGCCTGTTGTAATCCAGATAAGCCTCCTACTGTTTAATGCTATTTGCATTTAAAATGCTGACCCCTAAAAGCACACTTACCTGTTTTATATTTTGTTAATCACACTCTGCAGCAGTACATTGCCATTCCAAAGCACTATGATCAACACAGTCCAATATACTGTATTTTTCAAAGTATAAGACACACCTAAAAGTGGGTGAAAATTGTAGGCCTCATAGACCGAATAAGAGCATTTTTGGCCTCCCAAACCCTCCGTGTGTCAGTTTTCATCCTCAACAGCCCCCCAGAACCACTCTGCAGTGCTGCATGTCCCATTTTCATCAAAAATAGGCCCATTTTTGGGCCCTCCGCAAGTCACATTTTCGCCCTCCCAGGCCCCCAGAAGCATTCTGCAGGCCAAAAACGGGCCCATTTTTGGCGAAAACAGGCCATGAGGAACACTGCAGAGTACTTCTGAGATCTAGGGAGGGCGAATATGCAACCCGCTGAGGCCAAAACCTTTTTTTCTTGTTTTCCTCCTGTAAATTTAGTCCAAAAAATATGGTACATTTATGAAATATAAAGGTTATTTTATGTCTTTTTTCCAAAGAATAAATGGCTATTCGAGTGAAAATAAAAGCATAATATAATAAGATATTCAAAGGCTGAACCCATAGCAATGCATGAATTTAATTCAACTAATCCCTCTTGTGGAATTTTCTCCAAGTACACGAATATGAAATGACACATCTTTTTTCAATTATTTTAACATTTGAACTCACTTGTAATACAGTATATAATAACAATACCAGAATAAAGTCAGATTTGCAAAAACAAGCTGAATGTTGCCTAACTCTGACAAAGACATGTGAGCCAGTTTAGTGTAGTTAAAGCACCAGGCTAGAAATGAGGAAACTGTGACCTCTAGTTCCATCTTAGGCCCAAGAAAGGTTGGCGAATTTGGGCCAGACACTGCCCTAGGAATGAAGCAAGGGCAAATCATTTTCAATATCTTACTAAAAAGGGACTTGTCCAGGCAGGCAGCAGGAATCAAGACAGACTCAAAGGGGGGGGGGGGGGGGATACGCACACAAGAGATAGATATTTGTGCCTATCCCTGCAGTTTCCTTGGCAGCATTTTTGGAGGTTTGCCATAGCCTTCTTATTTGTTTATTTTACAAGTAATTTGTTTGTTTATATATTAAACTTCTTAACCGGCCATATCTCCCTCACAGAGAGGCTCTAGGAGAGGTGTATGATTTAATCTTGTGGTGGCGAACCTATGGCAACCTATACAGGTGGCATGCAGAGCCATTTCTGAGAGCAGGTGAGGTATTGACCTGTCAGCTCCAGTGCACATTCAGAAACGGACTTCCGGTTTGTGTGTTGGGCCGTTTTTCACCCTCCCCGGGCTCCTAAAAAGCCTCTGGAGCCTGGGGAGGGCGGAAAACAGATCTACCGGGCCCAACGGAAGTCGGAAAATGGGCTGTTTCCGGCCTCCGGAGAGCCTCCGGGGGGGCAGGGGAAGACATTTTCACCCTCCCCTGGCTCCAAAAAAGTCATGCGCGCATACGCGGGACAGCGGGGAAGGGTTACACGCGCGTGCACAGGGGGCATGGTGCAGGGGAGCATTACATTATGGGGGTGGGCACGCGAGCATGCTTAATAGCACACACGCACGTGCTTTTGGCACCCAAGGTGAAAAAGATTTGCCATCACTGTTTTAATCAATACAATGAAACATTGAAAATCAAATAATTTAAGATGATTTTTTTAAAGATAAAACATTATAAAATGCAAGAGACAGGCAGGGGGAGGACCTCTTGGGGCCAAATAGCCCCAGGGCTATGTGGGCACCTGTGTCCCCCAGGCAAGGCCACACAGCCATGTTTTGACCCCTTTACGGAAGTCCAAACGATTTGGGACTTTTCTCACATCTGAGGGCAAGATGTTCTATAAAGCAGGGCAGCGGCAAAAAAGCTCCTCTTCCTTGACCCTGCCAGTCTTAATTTTCTGAATGACAGGATCTGCAGCATACCTTCCCTACTGAACGAGTGGGATAGACTTATGTACTGGGGCAAAGCCGGCTCCATAGGCAACCTGGCCCTATGCCATATAGGGCTTTATAGGTAATGACCAACAATACTTTGAATTGGATTCGTCTGCTAATACTATTCCCCCTTAAAGGAAAAGCCATCAAGCAACCATCCCCAGAACATTGCTGATGGAGGAATATGGCTTTAAAAGGCACATAAATACAACATAAACCATTCAAGAAGTTAAAGAATACCTACCAGACAGACTCCATGAATTCTGGATAAAGAGTTTTATAATCATTGTCAAAATCAATCCACCGCCCAAGTCTTGTAACACTGGTCTGAAAAAACATTAAATACAACACAGTTCAACATAGCATGGACAATTATTATTTTTTTGTTTCTGTTAAAAGAAAAAAGGAGAGACCAATTTTCTTTGGTGTAAAATAAAATTATTTTCATGTACAACTTTTGTTTTGAAATGTTAAAAAATAAATTCACAAGGTATGCGGTGTTTGTAGAATTTGGCTATATTGCAACATAACTCTTGACAGAGGAGCAGAATGGTGTCCAATGCTCTTATCCCACTGAAACTATTACAAATAGTAATGATGCCATAACAATTAATACCCATCAGACCTCAATGAAACTGAACATGAATTTTTAACAACTGGATAATTCTATGCAACTAGGGGACTTTGGTTTCTGTCTTGTGTCTGTGTGTGAGTGAGCGCACATGCAGACGTGCATATCTGCACAATGTTTAAATTTTAGCAGCTTACAGTTAGCCACTTTTGAAAACAGGGAGGACTACAGAAGCAATCAATCTCCTATTCAACATTGTCAATCCATCCATCTTAAGCCATGCTTTTTGAATCACTTAATAATCATCTAAAATAGGATAAAGAATAGGGGGGAAATCTGCAATAAACAGTATAAACAGAAACATTTTTTCTTACTTACCCTCCATTCTTGAGAATATCTCATCACAATTCCTCGACAGTTGCGATTATATTCTGCAATCCCCATTTTTGCAACATCTTCTGGTCCTTTGATGCCTAGTGCTTTGTCAATTTCATACTCCTAAGAAAATCAAAAGCATGATTTCTTGAATGAAAAATAGAATAATCAGATACAGTCACAGACAGAATTAATAGAGGGAGGGAGAGGGGGAGCAGGAGGGAGAGAGATGTCCAACAGACAGTAAAACCTGGTCAGTAGAAACAAAATGTTTTACTGCTTTTGGGTGGGGGGAGGCTGTAAATAGGCACACCATCTGGCACACAGCTTTTATAAAAGACTAAGCTAAGTTAAGACTGCACAAAAGTTCTACAAAGCTGAAATAATTACAAAATCAGTAACATTTGATTTTGCAATCCAAATACCTTTAAAAGTAATACCTTTAAAAGTGATCTTTGCACTCTAATAACAGATATATTATAACAATGTCCAGAAATGGGTTTTGATGTTTATGGTTTCTAGATATTAAATTATTAATTTAAATTAATTTTTTATTCATTCATTAACAAATATATTTATATTACTTTAATCTGATTTAAAATTGCCTATAGTCAATAACATATAAATGCAAACACAGTACACTGTAACACTAATAAACTCAATCTAGTACCATAGATATAATGGTACACCAACCCAACATGAAGTATCTTATTCAGCAGTCATTCCACTGGTCTTCAGAGTCCTTCCAGAACAGTCAGGTATTTAGAAGGTTTCAAAATGAGAGATGAGGCCAAATTCTTCTACAAAAGGAGCTCGCGCGTACCCTCTCTTCAGATATTCTTCTATGTGCATTAGGTGGGCAGATTCTATTTGAAATAGGCAGGCTTGTATATAGGCAAATATCCAGGCCCCAAGCTACCTTCCCCATGGTTTGTTGTTAGAAATTGGCAGAAAGTTACAAGGAGGTTCCACGATCTCACTTAATTACAACAATAGGGACTAGTGGGATTGCTGCTGCTAAGGGGAGTCATGTGGCATTGCCATCTATGACCATATTACTTAGCAACAGCAAATTCCAGTTTCAATTATTGTTAAGCAAGGACTATCTGTGGAGCTTGGCAACAAATCACCCTCTTTATGTCACCTCTATATATTATTTACATAATTGTGTGATATATGTACAACTTTAGTGTGTGCATGTGTGTGTATGTGTGTGTGTATTTTTTCTCTGAATATATACAAACTATTTGAACAAGTCCATGGTTACATCCAACACTGATCAGTCATAAGCAGAATACAAATCACGGGTGGAATGGATTCCGATTCCTTCACCTGAACATTCCCTAAATTCCTTACAAATTGCCCTAAATGTAAGCAGAAAGTTGATAAAGTCTCGGGCATAGATAGTAACACCTAGACATAGTGGGTAGGAGGGTAATGTAAAGGAATATTAAGGTCACAAAAGCAGTGAAAAATGTTACCCAGTCTAGTAATTAAATGTCTGCAAACAAAGAAGCTCAGAGAGCACCAAGAACTCCACGAAGCCATAAAAGCCCAATTATGAAGGATTGGATGTAGCTGTTCCCTCAGAAGTTATTTTTCAAGATACAGATTGAAGCACTAATTCCAAAGAAGTCCTTTAAAAGTGTATTTTTTCCAAACTGCAAAATTATTATTTGAATGAAGAATCAAACTCTGACTGAACTGGTTCCCGTTTGTTGGATTGTCTTTGTATTTTATACACTGAACTGATACCAAAGCAATTACCATATTTTTCGGTATATAAGACGCACTTTCCCACCCCCCACCCCCAAAAAGTGGGTGAAAATGTGTGTGTCAGTGAATGTTGCTGAAGCCCCACCCACCCACCAGCCCCCACCCTTCGGTCTCTGCCTCCCAGCAATTTGCCTCCTTGCAACAAACAGCCTGGTCAGCTTCAGCACAGCCCGATTTAGCATGAGCAGCTAATTGGCGATTGGATCTGCCTCCTAGAATATCACCTAACAGCTGTTCCAGGCTGCAGGGATCACCACGGCCCATTGCCACCGCCTCCATGCACCCCATTTTCAGCTTCTCCACACCCCGTTTTTGGCCTCCATGTGTCCCATTTTCAGTCCGTTCCAAGTGGCGGAAATTGCCGCCTATCCCCGCCACCTGGAACAGGCCAAAAATGGGACACGCTGAGTCCATAAATGGGGAGTGCAGAGGTGGTGATCGGCAGCAGCGCCAACGGGCGGCAATAGTGGTGATGGGTGGCGACGATCCCCACAGCCTGGAACAGCTGATAAGCAGTATTGCAGGAGGCAGATCCAAATACCAATCAGCTAAATCAGGCTGTGTGGAAGTTGAACAGGTTGTTTGCTATTTGCTGCAAAGTGGCAAATTGCTGGGAGGCAGAAGCATTTTTTTTTCTACTTTTCCTCCCCAAAACCTAGATGCATCTTATAGTCCAGAGCGTCTTATAGTCCGAAAAAATACGAGTAAGTCCCTCTTTTTGTGATGAAAACTACTCGGATCAATGATCTCTATCAGTATAGTTGCAAAGCTTGAATCAGTTGTCAGCAGATAACCAAAACAATATCACATAGAATCAAAGATATTAAACATACCACAGGCAAACCATGGCAATCCCAACCAAATCTTCTGTCAACGTGAAACCCGCTTTGATGAGCAAATCTAGTTACTATGTCTTTAATGGTTCCTGCAAGTATGTGGCCATAATGCGGAAGCCCTGTGGCAAATGGAGGACCATCATAGAAGGTAAACCTAGGAAACAAAAAAATGCATAGAATTTAAAATCACATCATCTTTCACATTTTAATCAGCTTTTTGATTACTGAAGATTTTGGTTTTTAATTCTGTGTGTGCATGTGTGCGTGTGTGTATATATTTCAGTTGTAGCACACAAATTCAGATATCAAGCTTCAAAAGAAAAGTTCTGTGAATAAGGATAATAACTGTAGTTTGTTTATAAGAATTATGCAAATCCTACAAATGTATTGTCTTACCTAGGTTTGTTTTTTGACTGCTTGAGACATTCTTGAAAGCAATTAAGTGTGTTCCAAAGCTGCAATATTTTCTCTTCTGCCTCTGGAAAGTTGATGTTGTCTGGGACTTGCTGAATCATCCTCTTCCTACCCAAAAAAAAGCAGTACTAAAAAAGTTAAAATATCTGTATATAATTTTTGCATGTCAAGTAAATTGACAATAATTCAGACGTGTATTTAAAACTGCTGCATCACCATATAACATGTCTAGTCAGAAATAAGTCCTACTATATATGGAATTAATTATTGACTGTTTGCTTAATTATCTTTCTCAATGTTTAGGACTACAATTCACAAAGTGGGAAAAATGAGCTAACATACAGCTGGCAGTTAATATTAAATATTATTAAATTATTTAAATGATTAAATATTATAAACAAAAAATGTGAGTACTTAAGACAACAATGCTGTGTTGTATGTTACAAGGACTGTGCTGGCAATCTTTTTGCAGGTACTGTAATACAAAGCCAGCATTATTCATTGTAAATATGCACCATTCCATTCAGAATCTGTACTTGTTATGAATGAACAAGTGTACTGTTGCATGCTGTATGTCACTCCAACTTGGCTTGCCTACATGCAATGCTCTGCCCATCTAATGATTCTATGAAGCTCTAGAGCTCCACTCACATGTGTTGCTAGGCTGAGTTCATATTCCAACTTCTTAGAAAACAAATAAGCCAAGGATTCAAGATGAATGCCAAGCGTATCACAAACCACCAATTTCCTGCTTTATTTAACTACTACCATCAGCAGGAGAAAGACTAAACAGATGCAATCATTTGGCATGCCAAAGCACACTTGCAATGGCTTTAGCACTGCACACCAAAGCAAATATGATGCAGATATTCTTCTCACAGCACTCCTTCATTATAGTTTTTAGATATATTGGTTTGGTCTCAAATGTCCCTATGTTGCTTACTGCAAGGTTTTTCCCTTCCTGAAAAAAAAGCAAAGAAACACACAGAGGCACAGCTGTAAGTGTGATTCACTGCTCTTGCCGCAGTAAAGAACCGCACCTGTAGCAATGTAACAATGACCGGGCTATGGAGGCTGCTAAAATATCAGACTCCATGCATATGCCAGAGTATTTATTTTTGGCCCATTTCTACCAACTGAAACACTGCACTGAGACAACAGCATTCAGAAACCACAGGGCACATTTTAAATATAATAAATGTCAATGCAATGCAATACAGAACAAGGTCAGAGGTAATTATTTTGCATGTATTTTAGCGAAATATTTAACTGGACATGTTGTGTATGGACGTGGATGAGCCATGTATCCATTAACCCTTGCGCCACTTTCGCCCGATCGGATGCGTCAGAATTTAATTCCCACAATTTTCATCCTGCACGATTATAGAATTAGGAGTCGATTTCATTTAAGATAGCGGAAAGTTATTGCTGTATTGGATTCTCAAGAAGTAATGTACATTTCAGCTTTTTTTCAAAACTGTATGGAGTGTTCGAATTTTTCTACAAACTCCGGAGCCAGCGCCCAGGAACACAATCCTCATCATCAGCAGTTCTTAATCTTTCGACAAGGGGTTTTCCTAACAGACGACACAAAATAAAGAAAACCGCCGCCGCCCACCCTTTTTCCCCGTCCACGCCCACTCCTCTCTTTCTGCTTCTCCCAAGCGCTCCTCCAGTTAAGACACCGATGGCCTCACCTGCTTCTAGGCCCAGCAGCTGCAGCTTGCGACCGGCTAGGAATGATGCAACTCCAGAGGCAAGAGAAAGCATGACAGGAAGTCGAGAAAGAAATTCACCACCTATCCACTCGCGGCTGCTCCGATCTCTCCCATCATAGGCTGCAAATAAGGCGGCCCCGGATTGGGTAGGGCAGCCCGTCCCCGAGCAACTGTTAACTCCTCTCAGCCAGGAGGAGGAGGAGGAGGAGGGCATCGAACGGCGACTCACACCGAAAGGCGTCGGCTGCTCCTTCCGTTTTGCTCGCCGGGTTGGCGTTGGAGAGGATGCGGGGAGCGGGCATTAGCGGGTAGAATGTGGTGAATGGAACGTGGAGACATTCCGAACGTTTGGTTACATCATTTCACAATCCTGATTTTTTTTTTTTGGTCCGGATTTTTATTTATTTTATTTTATTTATTTAGCTTGTCAAACATGTACAAGATAGCAGGTATAAAAGTATAAACATGAACATGAATAAAGGAAATGAGTACAAATAAATGCGGACAGTGAACGGTAGGCACGCTGGGGCGCTTATGCACGCCCCCTTTATTATGTTTTATTAATTTTATATGTTGTATGGACTAGTGCAGTGTTTCTCAACCTTGTCAACTTGAAGATGTCTGGACTTCAACTCCCAGAATTCCCCAGCCAGTGAATGCTGGCTGGGGAATCCTGGGAGTTGAAGTCCAGACATCTTCAAGTTGACAAGGTTGAGAAACACTGGACTAGTGATCCAGGGATAAGTCTTACATTCTGAGATGTATCCCAAATGCCTCCAAGAGAAGAAAAAAAATAATCATATTTGCACCTCTTCGGAGAAGCCTCGCCTTACAACAGTTCGTTTAGTGGCCTTTTGACGTTACCATGGCACTGAAAAAAAGTGACCTATGGCCGTTTTTCACACTTACAACCGTTATGGCATCTGTGTGATCACGTGATCGGAATTCAGATATTTGGCAACTGACTCTCATTAATGGTGTCCCAGGATCATGTATTCTGTGACCTGACAAGCAAACTCAATGGGAAATTCAGATTCACTTAACATCCTTGCTACTTCACTTTTACTTAATTGGCAAGAAAGGTTGTAAAATGGGGCAAAGTTCACTTAAAATGTTTCACTTAGCAACAGAAATTTTGGGCTCATTTGTGGTCGTAAATCAATAATTACCTGTATAAATTGTCCATTTTCTGTTTGGTGTTCAGAAAAGTTAATATTTCAATTTACACAATAAAACATAATGGGTGAGAGGATAACACTAAGAGGAAGTCTGCCATATAGAAGTGATCAATATATAGGGAGGCTTTATTTTCCTTTGTACCCATTTTCAAAACATTTAGCTTTGTTGAAACCTTTTGTTTCAACTAACATCAGATGAAGTGAAAATAACACAATTTTTCTCTTCGGTGTAATTACCTGGATAAAGAAGTTCATTGATCATACACTTATCTAGGGTTCTTAACTATAGTTTGTTTCAATTAACCCAGTTTTAGGCTAGCATACTATCTTGAATCATAAAGTAGCCAGACAAGCTTCTCTTGCACAAGTTACAGACAAAAATGTGGTTCAACTACTTTATGATTCAGTGTTTCCTTTACTTAGTATCAGTGTTTACTTCTAACCATAAAAGCTCAATTTCTTTTTGTTTTTAAAGTACTGTATTGAAGTTTGGGTGCGGGGAATCATCTCTTCTAGAATATGACACTTATTTGACTAGGAATGCAAACAATATTATAGAGAATTTAACTGTCAGCATGAAGTACTGGAGAAACCTTGTCAAATAAAAAAATAAATTTAGTCCTTATTTTTACATCTGATACCCTTTAAACAGTGGTGGGAGTCAAATAATTTATCTGCCTTAATGATTTCTTCCAACAACCAGTTCACCAAACTGCTCAGAAAGTTAACAACTGGTTCTCACAAAGTGGTGCAAACTGGCTGAATCCCACCACTGCCTTTTAAACCATGCTTTTGGTGGATATTTGCTACCTTTTCCTGATTTCTTTACACTAATCGTACTTTATTACTTGCTGGATAAAGCAATCTGTAACTTAGGTTGTTCCAAAATAAACTTGAGAACTTTTATCTCTCTCCATGTACTACACCTCTGTTCTAAAATTTTCTTTTCTCAGGACAGATTAAAAGTTTAAAAGTAAATTGTATTACTGGATGCCTGTCTATTATCACCATTAGAGCTTTTTGTTTTCCTGTGTGGTTGCATATACACGGAACTACCAATAGAGGGACTATACCTTAACTACTATACCTCCCAAGCCAATAGTGCAAATGTTGTACCATGCTAAATTTAATTTTGATGCAGATTTTGCTTGTTTTAATCCATGGTAGAAAAGTTCAATAAAAAGAGAGGATACTTCTTGCCTTATAAATGGTTTAAAAATAAATATATCTTAAGATCTCAGAAGAGTAATCTCAAAAGAAGTTGGCAATGTCCTTAAAAATGTCAAGTATGTATTGTGTAAATGTGATGTACGTCTAAGTTTTGTGTGTGTATTTTACATGTTTGTTAATAATTTTTTTAAAAAAATGTCAAGTATGTAAGTGAACTGTTAAAGCAGTGATGTAATAAAAACAAAATGAGTCATTAAACATGAAGCAAGCAGTCACATGTTTTAATCATTGTTAACTTCCTCCAAGCAACAAAAAGTTAAATCATAAGGAATGCAACCCTGAAACAACTTCTGTTCTTGTGGTTCATTCAGTCCATGTATCTTGGGATACTGTACCGTGTTTCCCCGAAAAAAAGACCTGTCCTGAAACTAAGGCCTTGCCACATTTTTCGTGTGGGCAAAAATATAAGCCCCCCTGAAAATAAACCCCCTGGACAATGCCCCCATCCAGCCAGGCTGGAGAAGAACTTATGCTCGGAGTGTGGCAACAGTGCCCTGGCCCTGGAGGGAGAGCTGGGCCAGGGAATGGTGAGTTTGGGAGTCCTGTGAGCTGGGGGCGGAACAGGTGTTTGCGCAACCACCCTCTCCAGCCTGACAGAGGTCCATGCACTGACCTAAGGAGTATCCCGAATGTGCCAAGCTGCAGGAGCTGGGGGACGGGCAGAGCGCCACGTGGCTTGGCGCCTTAGGGATACCCCCTAGGTCTGTGAGTGGCGATCTGCCCGCTGGGCAGCTGCTTGTGAATGTAGTCACCTCATGAAGCTGTGCCTGGCTCTTCGGAAGCTGCTCACAAGCAATCCCAAAACAATAAGCCCTCCCCTGATAATAAGGCGAAAGCCATATTTTATGAGTCAAAAGAAAACAACACCCTGTCTTATTTTGGGAAAACATGGTATAAATCCGTGATGGTGAACCTATAGCAGTCGTGATACAGGTGGCACACAGAGCCCTCATTGTGGACACATGAGTCATTGCTCCAGCTCAGTGCCAGCTGGTTTTCGTGTCTGCCCCAACCAGCTGCAGTGGGTGGGATGCATGTGGGAGACACATATGCATGTGCTGGGGCAGGGTGTACATGCAGTTGCACATATGCATGGGGCGAGTTCGCACGGGGCGCATGTGTAGGGGTCATGCATGCATGCGTGGGGAGCACAGGGGGTCATGCGTGCATGGGGGGAGTGGGGAAGCATGGGGGTCATGTGTGCATGTGCAGTGGTAGGGCGCACATGGGTGGTTGATCGTACATGCGTGAGGGGGCACATGGGGTTGCGCATGAATTATATTCGGCATGCAACGACAAAAAGCTTAGCCATCACTAGTATAGGTGATGTACAAACAAAATAGCATAAGCAGTCTTGGCAGTGCGTACTTTTGATTCAACCAGTTTGAAGACATCTCTCAGTAGGAGATGGAGATGGAAGGCATATACTTTTTTTATTTTCTGGTTGATAAATAAAGGGACTTAACATTTTGAACAGTGCTATATAATTTAGATACATAGATACATAATTAAAGGCACAGCAGGAAACATTAAGGTTTTGGAAAATGCTGAAAGCTGCTTTGTTACAGAAAAGGCCTTTCAAATCTTAATTTCCAGTCTCTTTCTAATAGAGAGTACAGTGGTGCACTCTTGGGGAGGGATCTGTAAATGTGAGTGGAGAGATTAAGACAGAATAGCTATAGCATTTAGGCTTATATACAGCCCCATAATGCTTTACAGCACTTGGAGGTTTACAACGTCAACATATATTGCTCCAACAATCTGGATCCAGTGGTAGGACTCATCTCCAGGGGTGATGAGTCTGCCTATCGAGATGAGGTGGATTGGTTGCTTTCGTGGTGTGGAAACAATAATTTGGTCCTTAACACCAATAAGACCAAGGATCTTATAGTGGACTACAGAAGGAATGGATCAGACATCCAGCCCTTGGTTATCAGTGGAGACCAAGAGGAGCAAGTAGCCAGTTTTACGTTTTTGGGTGTTGGAGGACCTGACCTGGGGCGTTCACATTGCACTGATCAAAAGGACCCAGCAGAGATTATACTACTTGAGATTTCTCAGGAAACAACAACTGAATGAAAAATTGCTGATGACCTTCTACCGCTGCACTATAGAGAATATTTTAACTTAGTGCACCTGTGTATGGTTTGCTAATTGCACAGTGGCAGATAGGATAATGCTCCAGAGGGTTATCATCATTGCTCAGAGGATCATTGGTTGCTCTCTCCCCTCCTTGGAAGAGCTTTATAGCTGCCTTAAGAAAGTTCAAAACATTCTTAAGGACTCATCTAATCCTGGGCACCCTTTTTTGAACTATTACAATTTGGCAAATGACACAGGACAATAAAAATGAGGAAAATAGGCTGAAAAAAATGGTTTTCAATTTTATTGTATAGAATGTGAAGGATATATGATGTACACTGAAGATGGCATTTAATTTCGTTGTATGAGATGCAATGACAATAAAATAAACTAGTAACTCAGAAGGATGGGAGGTCGAGTCAACCTTGAGCCCTGTCAGGACCGAACTACAAGCTGTGGGTAGACATTGCCTACAATACTGTGTTTTAACCACTGCACCATCAGGGCTGCAGGAAGCAATGCTATTCTTGAGCCCATTATTTTTCATTGTTTAAATAACAT